TATAATTGAAGCTCTCTATAAGATTACGAGTCTTAACACCCTTAAGTTGAACACAACTTATAAATACACAACAGGAGATTCTGATATTCATCTGATTCTAAGCTTTCAGAAATTTAAATATTTGTTTATATTGCCTTGTTTTGTTGCCTTCCCTTTAATCTCTGATTTTAGCAATAAAGTCAATGTGCTGTCATCCATTATAACAAAATGCCATATTATTTAAGAAATAAGCTTGACTGTTTAAAATCTAAGCCAACACAATTGCTAACACTACCGATCTATTGTAAGAAAGCGTAATGGACAACTGACTTAGCCCACTGAATTCACATTCAGAGCCTTTCAGAGCTTTCATGGATGCAAACAGCTCACTGTGACAAACATGTCATAGGTTCTCTACCATTGAGGGAGACCGTCTGATACACAGCCTAAAAGGCAGTTGCCTGGATAGAAACAAACAAGGCTATACACCAAATTAGGAGCTAATTCCAATCACACTTATGCATGTAAAAGAAACCGCAATAAAAATTAAAATAAAAATAGAGAAGTACTCTTCCTACTAAGAAGAAAGTTGTTAAGGAGAGTATGCTAAGTTAGTTATTCTCTAATATTTAGGCTGGAATAATTTAGAAATGCAGACTTCATGTTTTATAGCTTTTTCTTTTTCTTTCTTTCTTTCTTTCTTTCTTTCTTTTTTTTTTAATTTTACAGTGTCTTTTGCACTCTGCTTATCTATATAAGACCAAGACAAAGAAAACACATCAGCAATTTCACTTCTGGAGTTCCCTTCTGGTGGGTATCGACCAAGAGATATTTTCTTCTTATTTCCAATAAACATTTTCCTAACTTCCTTTTTTTGTTCATGATTTTATTCTTAGACATCATGAGACAAGAATTTCAGGTTTATAAAAAATTAACTGTTTTCCTTTCAGTAGAAAATGGTAATACCTGGTTCAAATAATTAACCAAAGGACTAAGTCCAAAATCATTTATCAGCAGCACCTGTATTTTCACAAAGCAACAAAAGGACAAGAATATAAAAAATACACTTGCATTTTTAAACCCTTAATCAGGAAGTTCTGTCTAGTTAGATCTTTAAATAAGTAAGTAACCATACCAGTTAATTGCTGTCTTTATATTTCTTGATCCACACTGTGAAGTAGTGCCACTTATTATCACAAAAGCACCATCTGAATAGGCACTAAAATAAGAATATATGGGCACTATTATTAAACCAAGATTTTTCTTTGCATTCAGGAATGAGTATCAAAAGTAAATCAATTTATTGTAAGAATAATATAATAAAAAAATCCCACAGTAACACCTCTGTTCATGAAGCTTCTGTTTGCAAACAATTTTGTTCTCAAACAAAAGTGTTCAACAGAATTTTGCTTCCATTCACAAACTTCACATTGGGTGACAAACACAATTGCCACAATCTTCCCCAAAATTATAAGACAAATTAAATTTGTGAACCGCGGCACCACTTTATAAATATTCAAAAATTAATATTTAGTCCTGGGGGGAGGGACTAAGTATAAGTGCCCTCCTGCATCTTCATTGGGCCACTAGTAGCCATTCTGAAGACAGAAGGGTCTGGAAATATCCCTATAGAACAAGAATAAATTGTGATGGAGAGTTCTGGAAGGCCAGAAGGTGACAGCAAACCAGACTCCTATACTGGTAGAAGGAAGTGACTGTCCCTAGCACTATATATCTGCCTATCATTTCTAAGCTACTCCATTTATCTGAGGCTGTTAGACATGAGTCAAAAACAAGATTTTATTTTTGTGTTTTCTGTTTTTACTCAGTTGAATGGACTTCAACATGTCACATGCCTTTTTCACAAGACAACTGCCTTTACTGTGCCTTTCTTGATCCTAATATTAGGCAGTGACCAATGATGTGAGCAGCAATAAATGTACCTCACCTAACAACAAAGATACTTCCATCATCAGATAATAGTCACTCGAGGCACAATTAATTCTTAATTGTGATTTTCCACTATATATAATTTGAGTCAGATCTCTAAAGGTCCAAAATTCATGTTTTGAAAATCTTTATTTTCTGTATTTCCAATGAGTACATTCCACACCCAAGTTCTCCTCAAGTTTACATCGTAGTTAGTTCTGCTTCAGATACAATACAATACCAAAATGCATCATTCTTCCTTTTATTATAGATGAATAGATAGACAGATGGACGCGTGCGTGCACACACACACACACACACACACACACACGCACACACACAAATACCAAGAGGATAACTCCTGACTTCTCCTCTTATGAAAAATCCCCAATCATTGCTAACTTTGAGTACAAAAGGTTAAAAGCCTGATCAAGTGGTGCTACAACCTGAAGTTTCCTTGATTCTAGGATGAAGACTACAATTTCAAATCTGATAGTCAAACTAGCAAGAATACTGTCTTATTCAATGAGCCTTCAGGGAAATTCGGAAAAAGAGAGCTCAAAATGTTTGAACCCAGAACAGTGGTTTATCTTAGTAAGGTATTACTTCCTGTCAGCTTAACTTTTGTCACTAGAATTTCCTGATGATATCTAGACCATTTCCAAGACCCAGTTTTCTTACTCTGACCAAAATTCTCTGGCATTCTTTCTCAACCTTTCATTATCAACAATATCCCCTAAGAACCTTTGTAGGCATTTTTTCTAATCATTCTCCCTATGAAACGTTAGCATCACAGATATACTATATATCTGTATTCTGGTTCTTTGGAGGAACACAAAATATTGTAATATCTAAGATTTAATTACTTCCTATGGCTCAATCTCACTCCCTGAGAGACAGTATAGACCCTCTCTGAGAACACGTGCAAATTTAAGAAATGTCTGCGTTTTGAACTAACAACCCATTAGAATTACTAATTATTTTTAGTTTGTATAAAATGATTTTTAAATGTCTACTTTTTTCTCAGTCTTACTTCTAAGAGGAGATGGATATTAAGGAAAGTATCAAACAATTTACTAATCAATGTGTGTGTGTACTTTTAGAGTAACTGAAAACCAGTGTTAGTTAAAATATGAAGAACCATTATAAACAGTACAATTTACAAACTTTAGGTGAAACAAAGCATTTCCTATATTTATTAGGCAGCTGTACAGAGTTTTAACAGTGAAAACTAAAGTGAGACTACTCCTTTCCAAAGGAAAAAGAAAAAATTTTCTGAGCTGCATGCCTTGGTTTTAGCCAGCATTTGGAGTTAATGGAAAATGGCTACATACTTTTCATGTTCTGTCCTTGACTTCTTGTAACTGATACATGTATTTTAGAGCTAAGGATTGCAAAATTATGAAGTCATACAGATCATAAATGGCATTTTGCTCTATGCAGCTAAAAGGGCATACAAAGTACAAACTTTAACAAGTCTAAAAAAAATCAACCACGAAAATATTTGTCTCTTAATGAAATATTAAGAGTAAAATAAACCATAAGAATTTGATTGTAAGCCTAAACTTATTTTTAAGTCTAGTTTGCAATTTTTGTGCTCCAAATAGTTATCAAAAATGCGCTATAGGAATATTTTACATAAAACACTCTCTGTATTCAAGGTAACTGTGGTTTTCCATGTCACCTCTTACTACTTCAGATTAGTTGAGCACACTGAAATCCAGTCTATTTGTCAGCAAAAATATAATAGTTTTGTTTTGTTTCACATTTTTTTGTTTGGTTTCTAATTTTAATTTTATTTATTTATTTGCTACAGGACCTCACTATGTAGTTCAGGCTGGCCTTGAACTCACTATGTATCCCAGGTTGGGAATGAACTGAGGAAAATCCTTCAACTGCAGCCTCCTGAGTGCTGGGATTACCATGTCTTGCCAAAATCTCTCTTTTCTTTTCAAAATCCAAAAGTTTTTCAATGAAGACTAAATTATAGATATATAAAAAAAAAACAAAACAAAAAACAAAAAACAACAACAACAAAAAAAAACAAAACTGATGAGAGAAGGAAGTGGCTCACATGAATCTACTCAGACAGCCAAATGCTGCCAGCTCAAACAACGGAAGCATTAAGATCAGCAGGCTGATCTCTTTGGGGATGAGACTGAACTTTAAGTCAGCAGGAGAAAATGGTATTGATATAGGAAAACCGAAAACGTGGGGGTCCCTTCAGGTACAATGCATAAACAGCTGCAAAGTGCTGCGACCATCAGCTGTAGCTAAACATAAAAAACTTAATCTTTAGCTATTGATGGAAGCCCCAGAAAGTAAACAAACTCATACTAAAGTCTCTGGAACCCCAAGACCCAGGTGTTCTCCAGAGCAAATAAAAACAATCACAAAGGCTCCAGACTTTCGGGATGATTGCTCCTTGCAAACAGCTGGAAAGCCTCCGTGAAAGGAAACTGCAGCAGAAACCAGGTCCCCCTGAGAAATGCTAAAAAAAACCCAGAAGTCCTTCTCCTAGAATGTTTCAGCCAAGCTGAACTCCAGTGTGAAAGTTACTTTAAGGGAAAGAAAGGACACCACCTTCTAAATAAATAACAGATGAATGCTTGTCACTCTGCTCAGTTTCAAGTACAATACTGACATATAATTCCTCCTCCTCTCTTTAAATAAATTAATGTCACCGAGAGGACCACTCTTGACTCCTACACCTACCACAAAAGCCTGATCTTTGTTATTTTCAAATCCAAGGTTAAGAATCTGAGAAGGGGGTGGCGAAGCCTCCAACTTTCTCCAACTCTAGGATGAGACTCCACATCCTGGGATAGAGTCCTGAGACATGGGTGATTTTTCTGGAGTCCTACAAGATGGGACACCTGACCCGTACTAGTCCCCCGCGCACGCTTATCACCACCTTCAGTCCCATTCTGGAAGGAGGGGTTCTTCTAGGACTGGGAATAGACAGAAATCACCTCCTGAAACAATGCATTTAGTCCGCGTTCACGAGAAAGATGCAGCGGCGCGGGGTGGGGAGGTACTGACTACAACAGAAGTGATTTTTTAATTTAAAAAAAAAAAAAATGAGCTCTTACCATCGCGCCTAAGATTGGCATTGCGCAAAGCTCTGATGGATGAGCCCTGCGGAGTAGCAGAAGTGTCCCCATAGCTGCAGAAATTTACGCAGATTAAAGTGTAGACGAAGATGAACCGGTGCATTTGGGATTAGAGACTTAGCGACTGTGTCGCTCCAAGAAAAAAATCCGATTTCCACTCCGGACCGGCTCCGCGTCGCCCTGCGCTCCCGCTGACTGCGCTGGCCCGGCGCTGGCCTGGCAACTGTGCTAATCGCTGAGCTCTCCCCAAACTTCCTGCATGCTGAACTTTACGAGCGCCTTGGGTGCCTCACTTCCTCGTGGCTGAGTTGATAAATGGTGACGGGACAAACAACAGGTTGGCGTTTGTTCGCCCCCTCCGGTGGCCAGCTCGCGGCAGCACAAGCTGCAGGGGGCGGGCGGCGCCGCGTCCGGCCCGCACCAGCCCCCAGCAGCGCGCACTCGGGCTCAAAGCGGCGGCGCGAACTGTGGCCCGGGCCAGAAGTGCTTCGCCACTGAGCATGCCCAGTTTGAGAGCCTGGTAGGACTCTCCGCAGCGTCCAGGGCCTTACTCTAGTAAGTGGACCAGGAAAGGAGCAGACAGCAAGGTGACCTGGAGTAAGTGGGAGAACCATACAAGCCCGGAAGTCGCCAGAGGTGATTTATGCGTCCTCCTGAAAGCCACAGCTCTGTCCTTGGTGATGATGGGATGGGAAGGACGAGTTAGGAGTGCTCATTTGCTGTATAACCAAAGTCAGATTCTACAGACTCCAGATTTCATTAGATGTACAATGGGAAATCCAATAGCAAAGGAGCTGATTTTGAACTTTTTATTTATGTTTTTTTACCCCCTCACCCTCACCAGTATGGCCTTAGTTGAGTCAATGATAATTTTTCAGAAGGAAAAAAGAGCCACCCTTCCTATTCTGCAAAGCTGTAGGTGAGATGGACCTGTGTGGTGCATACTGTACACGCGCAACAGCAGATCGTCAAAGGCAGTTCTCCTGCCGTACCCCCTCACCTACAGGATGGAAGGATGAGAGGCAGTGTGAGCATGACTCACCAGAACGTTAGGCTAGCTGTAGGAGAACTCTGGGTTCTATGCCTTCGCAATTCTTTTAAGAAGAGGCCTGAGCCATTCAGGCCTTTGGGTTGTTTCCTTCTTCCCTCAGTGCTGGCATTCTTAGCTTTACAGAGGAGCTGCCTCTGGGCTCTAGGAACTTCTGCACCATGCATCTGTCTCCTCAAGGAAGGTTAGGGAAAGAAAGACATAACAAGTTATAGTGCCACTGACTAGAGAGCATCTGCTCCACGGACATACCAAAAAATCAGCGTGGTTCATCTACAGGTTTGTGACCTGTCTCATCAATAAACAGCATATGATTTTATAATGCTTACCATGATTTTCTCTTAATTAAATTCATTATTTTGTTAAAGATTTTACATTTTTAACTGAATTTTTTGCCATTTTATTCTTATAATTATTAATAGTGAAATAACTTGTACAACGACTTTAATCATCTTTAAAAAAAAAACATTGAATTCTCTGTATATTTTCTTTCTTCCATGGGCCATAGTACTGGCTTGCTTATAGTTAGATAAGTTTATCTTTAAAACTTTAATTACAGTGGCATTTACAGCATACATTTATAGCATAAAAATACAAGGCAGAGTGGTGTTTTCTACTTGCTTTATAGATTCAAATGCAGACTGATTTGTATTTCTTGGTCATAACAAAGTCATACCACATGTCAATATAATCATGAGAACGGATGTTTTCAATTCATACCATCCACTATTGCTCATATTGTATATATATATAATGTGTGTATAGAACCCATTTATTACCTAGAATCCTACATAGCATTGTCAAATATAATTTATATAATGTGGGCACATTTTGAGCAGTAACTTTCAGATTTGATCATTTGGAACCGATTGTAATTGAGACTATCAGCCTGACATTTTGGAAGTAATAAGTCCAATCAGCCAATTAGATAGTTCAGTCAGTCAAGTGCTGGTTGTCCTTTATTGGATTAAATTAAACAATGATTCCACTTTATAAAACTAACATTTGAGGTATTAGTTGTCAAAGAATCCCTATATCTATATTTTCCTTTGCCTCATGGTATCCCTTATTTCCATTTATCCATTTTTGAGCTGCATTATCTAAATTTAAGGCTTCAAAAGTGAATATGTTGCTTATTCTGCAGGATGTCTTCCTTAATTGATCTGGGATGTCTTCCAGGCTTCTTTAGAATTCTGCCCTTTCATCTTTATAAGATTGGCTTACATCCACTTGCTTTCATATTTCAAGTTCTTTCTTACCTTGCCATTTTTTTTAGCAAGAAATTGATATTTAGGTCTGTAAGTGTTGGTTTCTTTGATGATAATTTTAATTCTATGCAATAACTCTTTTCTTGAATTTATGTTCTTTGGAATTCTATACTGCATATATTCTTTTTTTTTTTTGTGTGCTGAGAATTGAACTTCTGAATTCACACTTGCCAGGCACGTGCTGTGTATATTCTTTTTTATTTAAGCAAATGTTGAATTTGGACAATATGACAATTGAGTGGCATTTATTCTTTTTCCTCTCCAACTAATTTAAATCTTCTGATATTAATTCACTTCTATCAAGGACTAGCCTTTGAAAGTGAGATTGGATCCATCTTTTGTGTTCTAAAATCTTGATTATCTCTTCTGACTTCCTTCATTGCACTTAGTCTTTAAAAGAAAACAAAGAGGGGCCAGGAATTTGGCTCAGCGGCACAGGTGCCTGCCTGGCAAGCGCTAAGTCATGAGTTTTGATCCTTGGTACCAAAAAATTAAAAAAAAAAAAAAAACAAGCAGAATTCTGGAGAAGAAATAGAATGGAAAATTCCTTATTACATATGACAAATACAGTATAGTTTAATAAGTTAATTTATAGTGGAAGTAAGTTACAGCATTAGCCTTTATTCTGCTCATCTGTTTTTCTTTTGGGAAATAAACAATTTCTTCCCTAAGTAAAGACCAGAAAAGTCCCTCATTTGAAAATTTTAAAATTCTGCCAAAGGGGAGGGTTGTGCTCAGGCCACACAATATTAACTAGTCACATCAACATAATTTTATGTTTTTCAGCACAATATACTGATTGACTAGAGAATTTTAAGTGACTCCAAAGCGGTATTTCTGAAAGACTCAAGGCGTGTTCCACGATTGTATGCTGTTCCTGCCATTGCACTTTCAAAGCTTTGCAGAGCCATCTGTAGATCAAATTATTTGCTGACTGTTTAGGAGAGTAGAGGGAAACTTTATACCTAGCAGGAAGCTTTAAAGAAATAAGGAAGCTTATTGACCTCGTGGAACAATCAATGAAATGCAATCTGAAATAGCCTGGACAAAGTGGAAAACAATTAGAATGTGACAGTGTATGTAGAAAACTATAGGAAAGAAGTAGTTTATTTCAAGGTGAGGAAGGTAAAAAAATATTTTAATCCTTTTAATTCGAGTTCCTTAAAAGTCTTTTCTTTAAATCGATCTGAGTGCCATGGATAAAAGAGATAAACCACAGGAAGTTTCTGGAATGATGAACATAAAAGCTCCACATGTTTGGGAATGAAGGAAGAATTGTATTAGGGATGGCAGGTGCTAAGAGACATACAAATAAATGCTAAGAATTTACAGATGAAAACAACTATTTATACACAACAACCTATTTTTACTTTATACTGCATGCAGATCTAATAGGTAGGATTTACTAGGAGATGCATTCCAAAAAATTGCAAAAAGAGATCATTGACTGTGGAATACATTATATTTTAAGGCAAAAAAAAAATGAACCACTAAAATAACTATAATGGCGGCTGCATAAATACCAAGAATTCTGAAAATAAAATTCCTTCATGGGGGAAAAAAACCTATAAAAGACCAAAAAATTTTTCTCCCAATTCTTTTTTATTTTTTAATTTTAAAAATTTTTTTTTGGTACTGGGGACTGAACTCACGACCTTGTGCTTGCCAGGCAGGCATTTGTACCACTGAGCTAAATCCCTGGCCTTTTCTCCCAGTTCTTAAATGTTATTTTGTTATTTAGTTTTTTGAACAACAATCCTATTATAGGCACCAATGGAATTTAGAATATTGCTTCAGATATTTTTTAAAGTATATTAGTTCTTAAAAGTGTTATCTGGAACCATATAAAGCCCTATTAGCATACTTAATTGGACCTAAGGCATATGCAAGGATGATTTGAGAATAGAAAAAACTTGCAAGATAAGTTTTTCTTAATTTGGAAAACCTCCTGAATAGTGCCATTAGTGCTTGTATGTATTTCCCTGTTATACTGAAGTCTATATAATTGTTTTTCTGAAACAATATTAATTATAACAAGATTTTAAAAGTTTTTGAATTCATATTTGAAGGCAAACATAAAAATAAAAAACATACAGAAAATGTGACAATACTAAAACTTATTATTTGGTGTAGCTTTTTAAAATGTTGTTTTGAAACATTTCAGAAAATTGAAAGGGTTTAATATAATTGAGAAGTAGTCTCTAAACAATCCAAGTATGTAAGTATCCCAACATTATTCTAGAAGGTCTATAAACTTCCCTCTGTTGAAAACTTTTGGATCCCAATTTATAATCAGCTTGACCACTTTGTACTAACTTTGACAGACTCAAATATCTAATTTCTCCATTAAATGGTAAAGAGAAAGTGGAGCATAAGGAATAAAGGAGCCTTACAAAAATTTTTTAATGTATTAAAAAAAGAAACAAATACTCAATTTAGTAATCTGTCATTACATAAGGTGCGTAATCAACCTTATTCTACTTATCTCTTTGAACTCATGGATATTTACAGAATGTTCTGTTAATTGAAATATTATGGTGCTCAGTCATAAAAGTTTTTTAATTTGGTTGCATTCTATTTAAATATGAAAAAGTTTTACATTGCTGATATAGAAACTTACTTTTAAAACATTCGAATATTAACAATGTGACATAGATATATGTGTATACAAGTTAGGTCCAATTTAAATTTCGTGAAAAAAATTTATCAGAGATTAATACTCTGAAAGATGATTGCTTAGTGCTTCATGTTTGTTTATCCAAATAAAGACAGGAAGATACTATGAATTAATAAAGCAAGAGTAGAAAGGATTCTTCATAATGAAATGAATTATGTTTAATATGTGATTGGAAGGAAATATTAGCTAAGCACCCTGCTATAAAATAGTGACATATAAGAATTCAGCAAGACCAAAAATTGTATGTCTCTGGGGCAGACAGCAGAGGAGATCTATTCCTCTTGGGACCTGTGTGTCTCCGCTTCACAGAGTACCTTGATCTGGTTACAAGGCCACTTGTTTTCCTGCCCCGATGACACTGTGTCCAGCGCAGAGTGAATACGTCCTGCAAGCTGCTGAGTGGAGAGCCCCAGGAGAGTTAGACTTGT